TTTTATTTTATTTATTTTATTTATATATTATATTATTATTATTTATTATATTATTATCATCATTAAATTATAATTTATCTTTTATATTTATCTTATCATTATAAAATAATTTAACATTAGATAGTAATTTCTTATAATTGTATTTTTGTATAAATAGGATAGAAATTTATCCTTGCAAAAGGGCAAAGATAACAGTGTAAACTCAATAGTTCAAGTTCAAGACTTAGAATCTAAGATTAAGGATTGTTAAGGATACAAATCTCTATAATAAAGGAATCTCTTTCTAAACTATATATATTAAAAATCCTTTAACGTATTAATTAAGTATATCGTATTTACACGTTATTAAAGTTATTTACCTGTTTAAAAGAATAAACTTAAGGTTGATTGTGATAGGACTTATTCTATAGTAACTTAGTAGTTTCTTGCACGTTACTTCCTATTATTAAGTCATAGTTATTCTAAGTTCGACGGCTGAGTGTAGAGTTAACAAATTGGTGATTCCTACCAGGTTTATAATTGTCTTTATTAAATTTATATAAATATACCTACTAGTTTTGACATTCTAAAAATAATTCAAGAATATCATAAAGAAGTACACAAAAATAATTTACCTTTGAAAAAAGATATATCTTATGTATAGTGCAATTCTATTAATCAAACAGTAATAAAAAATTTTAAAAACTTTTGGAATTAGATCTCTAGTAAATATAATACTACAGCATTCAGTGATTGTTCTTTAATAGCATTTAAACTCTATCTAGATAGCTATCATGAAAATACTCATAATAGTAATAAAACAACAAAAGTAGCAATCACGTTATTATATTGTTTAAATTATTACCTATACCTTGTTGATTTACCTTCCATTTTATAACATTTATTATTAGTCAACCATACTACTGAATGCTTTAAAAAATCTTTTAATTCTTTTATCTTATCCCTTACTTCCACATCTACAACCTCTGAATTAACTGAAATAACAATGAATACTGAACAGTTAAAGAATCTCATGGATCACATAATGAAAAGTTTCAAAGATCTTGCTAAAGATATCAAAAGTACACCACCTGGTTCAAGTGAAAATAGTGAAAATCTCACACCAAAAAAAAGTAATATTATTTTGGTAAAACTTTTCTATAGAAATAATGATGAAGACTTTGAAATTGCTGCTGAAGCAAATAATTAGTCTAAAGCTCGCATGCTGAAAATTATACCAAGATACCTGCATAGACTAGCTGCATATTGGTTTGAAAAAATGACAATACTATTAAATGATGAAATGAAGATGGTAATACTGCTATAAGTTTTGTACCATTATTCTTGAAAAATTTTCAACTGAAGAAAAGCAAAATCTATAGCACTATTAGTTAAATACACTTCACCAAAGATTTTATGAAAAAGTAGATTTTTATGCAGGAAAATTTAAAAGATTATTAAAAAAAGTCGACTCTTCTAGTGCTTTACCAGATAAATATACTGTGAAACTTTTTCTTAATAGATTAAGGAAGAATATCATTCTTTCTGTAGTATTTACTTATCCTAAAAATGTAGATGAAGCTATTAAAGCAGCTAAATATATTGAGAGTGGTCAATATTATAAACAACAATCTCCTGTATCAACTCAAATAAGTGAAAGTAATAATGTTATTAATAATCTTACTAAATAAATAGAACAGTTATCTTTTAACTATGCAACTCTCTCTAATGTGTTATCTGCATAACTTGAAGGAAAATCTGAAAGAAGAAAGCTAAAAGATGATAGAAATTTTACGAAAGTTTAGGATACAAAAGCTTGGAATAAAAAGGATATTATTTGTTACCATTATCAAGAAAAAGGACATTATTCAAAGGAATGCATATCTGAAAAACCAGTGTATCAAAGAAAATCTAATAAAAGAGAAGCTAGTTATGTTAGAGTTTTTACTAATAGCGAAGAAGAGGAAGTTGAAAAAGTAGAAGAGGAAGAAGTCTATGCTCTTTCATGAAATAAATCCTATACTACTAATAGAAAACTGCTTGACAGTTAGAAGTAGAAAGGAAAAGACAATCTGAATCCAGAAAAGAATTAATCTTGAGAAGCAGAAATTCTATTGATGAATTTATGGAAGTAGAAACTCCACAAATTATTACCCCTACTCTAAAAAAGAAAGTCAAATGAGGACCATTTCAAATCGATAAAATGCTTTCCTATAATATTATGCAAAATTTATTGCAAATGCCTTCTTTTGCAAAAATTGGTCAACTTTTATAATATTCAAATCAAAGACGTAATCTTGTTCAAGGGTTGAGAAGACTAAAAATCCAAAAAACAAATTATGCCAATCAATAAAGTGAAGAAGAAAAGGAAGACAAATCTACAGCTGTTCATTGTTA